TCTAACCACTTACATATATTCTATATTTTTTCAGTATAATTACAATACACTTACAAATTATGTCAAAACCTTCCTCATTTTCTTTCATTTTTTTCCATAAACAACACACTATTTAATACCCAACTTCACCAACGGCACGTGCATCGCACGTGTGTCAAACTAGTAATCTAAGAAGAATTGAACCAAGCACCCAATTTTAGTAAATCAGTGGTGGTAAAAACGGAGGTTTGATTATTCGAACAGGTTTTTGGTCTAAAATCGAGAATGAAACCAAACCTCTCAATTTTTGATTCTAATACCCATTACCCAATTTAATCTAAGAAGAACCAAAACGTACCGTTTGGTTCGGTTTAGGTTCGATTCGGGATGGTTCAGGACTTTTGTTCAGCCCTAATTGTGGAAGTTCTTATTTATCTCTTGTTCCCAAGCATGATCTGGTTGACATTTGTATTGTTTGATAAATGACGTGTCAATTTGCTATGATGAAAACACATCTGTGAACTCAGAAGTCAGAAATGAGAAGCTTTCTATTTGCAAACTTTTTCTTTGAATAGTGATTCACCAATCTTTCAGGTTGCCATAGTTGTTGGTGGAGGAAATATTTTTCGTGGATCCTCCTGGGGAGGAAGTAGTGGTCTTGACCGCTCATCTGCTGATTATATTGGGTACTTTCTTTGATAAATTTGATGTTTTTAGTTAATTGTGCGAATTATTTTGTAGTTGCCTATGTGATTATGCTTTTAGAAAATACTGCTTATGCAATACACGTCCATGTTTATAGATGCAGAATCCACACCTTACTTTTAATTTTAAGAAAGTATATTTTCAAGTTGCCTGAATTAGGGAAATAGTTCAATGTTAGAACACATGCGCGGTGGATTTTTTTTGTTTGTTTGTGTGTGTGTGAATTTCAGTTTGTTTAAGATCAAGAATTTTGTGAAGTCGATTCTTGATATTTTGACTCAAGTCTTAGGAATGAATTACATTGCTAGATTGTTCCAATCACTGAAGTTTCTACCAAATCATTGTTTAGGATGTTAGCAACTTTAATGAATGCCATATTTTTGCAAGCAACAATGGAGAGCATAGGCATTCCAACAAGAGTACAGACAGCATTTCGTATGTCAGAAGTTGCTGAACCATACATACGTAGGAGGGCTGTTCGGCATCTAGAAAAAGGAAGGGTTGTAATTTTTGCAGCAGGAACTGGAAATCCCTTTTTCACAACAGATACCGCTGCAGCCCTTCGGAGTGCAGAAAGTGAGTTCTAATATTTTCACATTAGGGAAAACTTCCATATGTATGATCATTAGAGGGGTTCATACTCAAATCCTTTAGAACACATGCATCGGAAATGGACTAGAAACCTCAGCAAGCTTTCTCCAAGGGAAATAAGCCCAAGTGGAAGAGTTGAATGTTACTCAAAAGATATTTGTGGTCAAGGTTTTGAAGCAACTTGAGAAGCTGCTTCAGTTAACAACCACCACCAAAAACTATGCCTGTTATAAAAATACAAGCTTGGTTGCATAAATCGTTTTTTGAAAATATCTTTGATCCATTACTGAGAGTTCCAATGTAATCAAATCCTGCATGACGACATTGACGAGCATGTTTGGGTGGCTTATAAGCTTTACTCACAAGGAGAGAAAAAGTATGTAAGCTTATAAACCACAAAAGGCTCAACATTAGGTCATGTTTATTTTATTTTGCTTCCCCTCTTGTAATATAGTGGGTTCGTGAATCTCTCTGATCGCTCGTTATATCTACCGAGAGGTCCGATGAAATCAAATCTTGTGTAACATAATTAGGCCATGTTTATTTTGGTTTGCTTGCCCTCTTCTGTCCTGTTAGACCGCAACTGCAATTCTGTCATGATTGGAAGATTCTTTAGGTCTACACAAACATGCCTTAACTAGGTGAGTTATTTTTCCCTTAAATTTATCATCGATTAGTTTCATTTCACTTAACAGACTTCATCCAATCTAGTGTTGTCATAAATGCCTCACCATCCTCATTCATAATCATGTGACATTCATGTCATTGATGTTTTCTTTTTAACAACTCACACTCATCACGATAAAGCATCGCTGGTCTAATAACAACTTACCTTATTACTTTAAAGGCATATTGAGATCACTCTGTAGCATCCTAGTTTTGATTGCTATGTGGCTTGTAATTATGTTTTTGTTTACATCATTATTCTTGAGTCGCACTGTCGCAACCAATTTTCCATTGTGGATTAGATTCTCTTGCTAAAACTGAACTTTGAAATGTTGTAAAAAGTTAATGCTGAGGTGGTCCTAAAGGCTACAAGTGTTGATGGAGTTTATGATGATGATCCGAGGCACAATCCCAATGCCCATCTCCTCGAGACTCTATCATGATGTAACTTCTAAGGAACATTCAGTGATGGACATGACTGCCATAACTTTGTGCCAAGAGAACAACATTCCTGGTAAGAAGAAAATTAAGTTCCTTTTACCCATGTTCCTCAAGTTGGTAGGAAATTGAACTTGAAAAAAGCACTTTTCGTATATTTTGATAAATTATCCCCATTGGTATCACTCATAATCATTGTTTTTTCCCGGACAACAGTCTGGTTATAGCTATAACCAGATGAAACCTGACGAGTTTGAACTGGCCATGGGTTGACCGGGTTTCCTGGTTGTATTTTTTCTTAATATATAGAAACAAAGAAAAAGTTGAACTCATGAGCAATTCAGCCTTAAACATATATTATTACGAATATATGTTTGATCATTGCTTTACGTTTGTTTTTACATTGATGAAAATTAACTCATTTATATTTTTTTCATGTTTGACAATCACACACTCAAATTTTTTTGACATCCCGTTTGATTTTGGTTGAACCTTTTGATCCTCGACTCTCATACTTTTAGGGTCCATGTTGAGGCTGAATCTAACAACATTACTCAGAAGTCATAATGCTCGACTTTCTGAAAACTGATAAGCTGTTTGTGCTAACATTATGTGATGCAGTTGTCTTTAATCTCAACAAACGAGGGAACATCTCAAGAGCCATTAGGGGAGAGAGGGTTGGTACATTGATTGGAGGGACGCAGAGTTCAGTAACAGCTAGGGCTTGAAAAAAATACATATTATGCTTCGACCGTCATTGACGCGCTTCAATTTCGATCCTGAGCATCCTGAAGTTTTTATGCGACAGAGGTCAGGAAGGTGGTACAAGAACTTGTTCTTGATTTATTTGGACTTCAGGAATAGGAACTTAACAAGTCTCAATTTTTAGATATCTATTTTCATGGATTGCAATATAAACTTTGGAACTTTTATTTTGCACGATATCTTCCATTGGTTACTTCTTTACATTGAAGATCATGTAAAAATTTATAGAAATAATTCATTTTACAGCAAATCCACTTGCTTACTCATTATATCCAGGTTCCACTCTACAATGCGAATATATGCAATTTCTTTTAATGAAGCTTCTCCGATGAGATATAGATCACCTAACCTAATAACACAGCAGGAAGTGCCTTCTTTTTCGAAGTTTACTCTCTCGCTTCTTGCTTTAGTTTCGATAATGCTCGTGGAGGATCGCTCAACTGGCTCGTTTTCAGCTTTTTCTGCAAATGTGAATGATTCCCTCTACAGAAAATATGTGGAAGTTTGAAGAGGATAATAGCGACTAAAAGTCGAACAAAGGGTTAAAATATCATGTGAGAAATAGGGCGAGGGTGACATCGCTGGAGCTGAAAACAAGGACAATGGGATTATATGAACATATTTTCTTGAGTCATGCATTAAATAACAAATTCTATGCTACGTAGAACGACTACTGATAATTTTTACTATGAATAGCACTATTATATTTTCTCATGCCAAACCACAAGCAAGCAACCCAGCTTTTACTGTTGACACACACCAGAGATGCGTCCTTCCTGATCATATTTGATATTTTCTCAAGTCTTGATATATACAAATAGTATAACGCTAAATTAATTGACTCCCGTTTCAACCACTTAAAGAACATCTTTCATTCACAATGAGATTTAGGCCCTATTTGACAAGCCTTACTTTCCTTGGAAAATGGAAATCATACCCAATATGGATTGTTTGATGGCTTTTTTCTAGGCAAAATTTTTTCTACTCTTGTACCTCACGCGCCTATTTGCCTGATTTTGGAGGAAAAGGTTTTGCCACCTTTTTGGTGGGAAATTATTTTCCAGTTCACGTTTTATTTATTTATTTATTATTATTATTATTTCTTTTGTAATAGAAACAAATTTCATAACTAATCGTAAAAAAAAAAATACTTTAATGGACAATTTTCATGTAAAATAAAGTCAAACGAATACTAAAATTTGATTATAAAATTGATTTTTTAGGAAACACTTTTTTTCCCATTTTTTTTACTTTTTGGCAATGGAAACAAATTTTATAACCAATTGTGGAAAAAACTATCACTTCAATGGACAATTCCCATACAAAACAAAGCCAAACGAATAGAAAATTTAAAAATTTTTCGGGTGAAAAATTATACAAATCAAACACATTTAATTAACAATTCCCTACAAAACATTTTCTAGACAATTATTTTCCCTGAAAATAATTTTCTTTCCACCCATTTTTCACCTTTACAATCAAACGGACCTTTAATAGAATATATCTTCTTATCAACAAGAAGATAACAAGATGGCATTAAACTAGAATCAAGTTTTCTGCTTCGAAAATTTTCATGACATCCTTGTAACCAACCAATCTCAAATTTGGAGAAAAGTACGTTATGCCAAGGGCTATGAGTGAAGAATCAGACATTGTACATTGTTCGTTACATTATTTTTGAATTTTGATACACTTGTCTATAAGATTCAATATCATCGTAACTATCAATTTCTCATTTTGCCCGTGAACCTCCCTCCCATTCCCATGTGATTCTGGTCTTCTTCTTCAACCCCACCACAGACCCGACACCATTAATCAAATTACTGCCTCTATTATAAATCTCATTTCAGTGTCATTACCTGTACCAGTCACCATTCAAAGCAAAAACCACACCCCAACCCACCCCACCAACACGGGAAAAAGAAAAAAATACCCAACTTTTCACTCTGTGGCTCCACCCTCAACTTCCAATAACCTGAATAATTGTCCCATTTGCTAATCCTGTTCCTCCCCGTGACTCCACTTTCCCTTTTGTCCCATATCAAACAATTCCCTCCCCAGTCAATACGCTCCAAGATTTGTTATGATGCAGCACAGAAAATCTGTAAAAACCCATCCACCACCAGTGTATTACCCCACTGCCACCATTTATAATTTCAAACACTCTGGGAATTTGAAATTTATATTCATTTCAATGGCTTCTCTTCTCTCGTTGATCCTCTTCTTCTACCTCTCTTCCTCCGCCTCTGGCCGCCAGCAGACCCATAAACCCGCCGTAAAACTATCCCCTCCGAACACTTCTGATAACATTATTCGTGAAGCCTGTAAGGCATCACGTTACCCGTCCACATGCGAGGCCTCGTTGGTTCAATCCAATCACGTGCCTCCAGGCGCCACTATTCTGCAAGTGATTCAATCTGCCATGTGGGTTTCGGCCCAGAATCTCGAGAAGGCGAAATCAATGGCGGGGGAAATCCTGGACGCGTCCACAGGTAATCAAAATCGGTTGAACGCGGCGGAAACATGCCTGGAGGTGCTGCGTTATTCGGAGTACCGGATGGCTTTGACGAATGCGGCTCTGCCGCGTGGCAAGATCAAGGATGCGCGTGCTTGGATGAGCGCGGTGTTGGTGTTCCAGTACGACTGCTGGTCGGCTTTGAAATACGTGAACGGCACGTCCCAAGTCGGTAAAACGATGGCGTTTTTGAATTCTCTGATTAGATTGAGCAGCAATGCATTGGGAATGATGGTTAATTACGATAATTTTGGCGAGAAAACCAGATCTTGGGGCCCACCCAAGACAGAACGGGACGGGTTCTGGGAGGGAGGTTCAGGTTCTTCCGGGTTCGTGGGCGGGCTGCCTAAAGGGCTGAAACCGGACGTGACGGTGTGCAATGTCGGCAGGTGCGATTATAAAGCAATACAGGATGCAGTGAATGCGGCGCCGAAGAATGCTGGGGCGGGGAACCGGTTTGTGATATGGATTAAGGCCGGGGTTTACGAGGAAACCGTTCGGGTCCCTTTGGAGAAGAAGAATGTGGTATTTTTGGGAGATGGCATGGGCAAAACCATCATTACAGGTTCGATGAATGCCGGTCAGCCTGGGATGTCCACCTATAATTCTGCCACTGTTGGTAAGAAGCAGACTAATTTGTTATTTTTGATGTTATTTGATTTTCACTAATAATATGGTAGGATCCCTTTTTATGTCCCCTTCGTTGCAATAAGAGGTGAAAAAGGGAAGGCAAGAATCTATACGCTAGAATCCCGTTTTACGCCAGATGTTCCCCATTTAGTTGGTATGTGGGAGGAGGCGCAAAAAAGGGAGAGAGAGAGAGAGTGAGAGAGTTTCTCTCGCCTTTGGCATAACCGTTCATATACTCAAAAGACGGGTTATGAATTTATGTAGAAAGCATATCCGAAAATTGTGTTATATCTGGGCTAGGAGAGCTCTAAAGTCTCTGTCACATGAATAGTTCAATATGCTTGTTGAAGCATTGAGATGTCACTTGTATAAATGTGTTTGGCTATGTCTAGAATTCGATTAATGGTGGCGGAATCGTGGAACAGAATGGTCTGTGATCAAGTTGTTTAATTAGATGCTGATCAAAAGCTATATTTTTGATACTGGCATGTTAAAGAAAAGGTATAATTGGAAGTACATGATGGGGTTTGAATCCTAATTTCTTAAGTTAGTATAAATTATTACTGTTTTAGTAGAAATCTCTACATTGGGTGCTCCCAAAGGAAAAAAAAATAGAAATCTCTATATCGTGTAAATGAGATGTTCTATACATCTCAAAAAAATTGTACAATATCGATGTTTGCTGAAAGAGTAGTTTGGTATTGTAGACAGATCTATTATAACAATGTTTCCTTCGTCTTGATTGCTAGTAAATGGAAGCATGAAGTGAGTTCGTGTGATGCTTTTCTGGGCTAGTAAGTGGGGATTTGGGGGAAAACATGGAGGGAGAATTGATGGAAAGGTATTGCTGTGCCAGCATTGCTTTTTGTGTTGGGCTAAGGAAGTCTCTAGCTATATGACATGATCCGTAATTTTGCATAGATTAATCCAAACGAGTGCTGAAAATTCATGATTTGTTCTAATACCTCAATTCCTGTTACAGGGGTCGCTGGTGATGGATTTATGGTGAGTGGTCTCACTATCCAGAACACGGCTGGACCTGGTGCTCATCAAGCAGTAGCCTTCCGGCTAGATAGTGATCTTTCCATCATAGAAAACTGCGAATTCCTCGGCAATCAAGACACACTATATGCCCACAGCCTACGCCAGTACTACAAGTCGTGTCGCATCCAAGGAAACGTAGACTTCATATTCGGAAACTCAGCTGCATTTTTCCAGGACTGCCTCATCCTAGTCGCCCCTCGGCAAATCAAGCCAGAAAAGGGCGAGAACAATGGTGTGACAGCTCATGGCAGAATTGACCCTGCCCAATTTACAGGTTTCGTCTTTCAAAATTGTATAATCAATGGCACTGAAGCATACATGGCTCTGTATTATAGGAAGCCTAGTGTACATAAGAATTTCCTCGGTAGGCCATGGAAGGAATACTCGAGAACAGTTTTTATACACTGTACGTTGGAGGCTCTCATTAAACCAGGAGGATGGATGCCTTGGAAAGGTGATTTTGCTTTGAAAACTCTTTATTATGGGGAATTCAAGAACTACGGGCCAGGAGCTAATGCATCACAGCGAGTCGCGTGGAGTAGCCAGATTCCAGCTGAGCATATTTCTTCATACTCCGTGCAGAATTTCATGCAAGGTGATCAATGGATTCCCGCATCTTCTTGATTAACAGTTTAATGTACATATATTTTGAGGGAGTAAAAATACATGTGACGAGAGTTAATTTTAAGATATTGCTTTAGATACATGATAGCTTAATTCTGTTTGGAGCATGTTTGGCTAAGTCTAAAAAAATATGAAGTTACTTTTAAGCCCCTGTTTGGTCCGGATTAAAATCTGATTTTAATTCAAGTTAAAGTCAAACAATCAATATTAACCACATCTTTAATGAGTCCCACAACTTTTCAACCATACATTTCAAAAATTTCTATTACAATTTACTAAAAATCTAATTTTAATCAAATACCAAACACCCTCTAAGTAACTGTTCTCTCAAACCAAGATGACCCTCAACGGCACCACAAAGTACTCCCGGTCAAAAATGACGTGATCGAAAGAGTAGGCCATAGATAGTTTTCCGAAGAGGAATTTCTTCACATTGATACACGAAAATACGGTGGAGATTGATCCAAGGATATCATGCCATCCCCACAAGCAAAAAAGAAGACCCCCTAAACCCGAAAGAGGTCAAGATTAGCAAAAAAGTGCTAGAACAAGGTCAAGATTAGCTTAGGTAGACTCGATCCATAGAATAAATTATGCTCAAAATTGAAGGATTGAGTCAAGTGAGCAAGTCTCGTCCTCGTTCTAGCGTAATTCTGGATTGAGTACGAGCCAATCTCAATCAAGCGAGTTTCGACATCTTTCGAGCATAATTTCCTTTGAAGTTTGACCCAAACAAGTTGACCTAATAATGTATATCCAAAAAGTGCTCAACAGTCCAAGCGAGTTGCCTTTAAGCCTCGAATGAGGTCAAAACTCCACTTATCTCGACTTGTTAGATCAATTATTCTCAAACGAGGTCGAGAATCCCTTGAACTTAACTCGAACCTTAACTTGCTTGAATTTACTATAAGCCCTTAAAAAGGATTTGCACTTGAATGAGGTCAAGATTCTCTTAAGCTCCAATGAGGCTAAGAATTACAAAGGCTTATGCTCAACGAGGT